TTTACCGAATATTACCGTAAATTACCGAATATTACCTGTAATGTAAGATTGAAATGAATATTACCGGTAAAGTAACAACCCTAATTATTGGACACATTATATGATTGATAATAAACCAATAATGATTGGATCAAAAAATGTTTATAGCTCATACATAAACAGAAACCGTATTATTACTGTAATATATTCTTATTAGTTATGTTATAAATACATAAATCGATAACTTAAATAGATCTACAGTATTATAATGTATATCATATATGCATTAATGAGAATGAAGCTTTAATATTCTAAAAAATTTTAAAATAATAATATTAAAATTTTTATTGTTATTATGGTAGTAAATACAAAACAATATGTTTATGATTAACATGTACAAATGTAATACAAAAATTTAAGAAATAAATTTCAAACACAAACTGAAATTTTAACTTAATTAAATGCACTTTTCTTAAAATAATACTTGTCATGACAATTAAGGTCTACTTGAAAGGTATATTGATATATTGAAAAATAATACAAAAGTCAGCGATTGGATATCAGTGTATAGTCGTATGCAATAGTGTTAGCATTCTGTTGCCAATCCATGAGAATCAAGAAAAAAAATACATACAAGAGATATACAGTAAAGTGTATTTTAAGTGCAAATTCATTGCATACTAATGAAAAAAATTTGGTGCAGACCTGCACTAAACTATTGATACTACAGGTATTGCATTATTTTGTACTATAGTTCTATTACACTAAACATTTAGTACATAATTCTTTGGAGGTATAAAAGTCAACGTATTCTCGCATTTGCCACACAATAGTTGATCACAACTTTACACAAAATTATTTTAAATTTATTTATACTAAACGTTGTAAATCTATTGCGAGAAAATGCCGATCGATCTGTACTTCGCTACTTTAAGCCCACCGTCTCGGGCGGTGTTAATGACACTCAAACAGCTTAAACTCGATGTTAATGTTATTGATGTGAATCTCCAGAAAGGGGAACACTTGACAGAGGAATATCTTAAGGTAATTCTCAATTTATTATTTTGTTACAAGTAATGCCATATTTAATGATAATCCAAATTAAATAATGATATTGTGTTAAACAGAGGAACCCGCAGCACACTGTGCCCACTCTTGTGGACGATGGCTTTTCTCTTAGCGAGAGTCGAGCTATTATGCAGTACTTGGTGTCAAAATATGCGCCAAACAGTGCTCTCTATCCGACCCATGATCTCAAGAAGAGGGCACACGTCGACCGACTTCTCTACTATGATATGAGCATTGGTTATGCCATACGGGACGCAGTGGTCAGTAGTCTATAAAATGTGTGCATAATTAATGGTGTTGTCTATAAACATGATTTTTGTATTTATTGTCAAAACAGATGATCAAAGTAATGAGAGGAGTGGAACCGCACGAGAATTCAGTCAAAAACTTCAAAAACAATTTCAAAGTTTTGGACACTTTTATCGGTGACAACAAATACGTGGCCGGAAATGAGCTGACAATCGCCGACATCTCCTATCTGTCAACTCTGACGGCTCTTGCGCTCAACGATTACAAAGAATTGGATGACTTCCCGAACGTTAAGAACTGGTTCTTCAGAATACAGAAAGAATTGCCATATTTTGATGAAGTGAACGGAAAGATTCCAGAATTGATCAAACAATTTGCTGCATCTAAGAAGTAAAATATTACCAATGTAATTCTATTATAATTTATTATTTAAAAGTTTATTCAATAAATTGCTTAAATGCTTGATTAATTGCCTAACTAATTGTGTTTTTCATTATTGATTCTTAATTATTTGTTATAATAATTAATTACTTGTTAAAGATAAAATATTATTTTAGTGTATTAGTGCATGAATATAATTTATATTCATACATAATTTTTATTATCAATAATAAAATATTAATAATCATAATGACATAGTTAATTTCATTATTTGCGTTTACTTGCACTGTTTTAGCAAACAATTTTATTTAATAAATTACTGTTATCTATAATATTTCGAAATTTTGTTTAAATAAAATTATTATATTATGAATAAATAATTTATATTCTATCAAAATAATATCATAATTAATATATTACACATATTGTCATAATATATTAATAAAAACCATTATTTTCTGAATCATTAACGAGAAAGTAATTATTAGACAAAAACAATTTGCAAAACAAAAATAGATAGCATGACAACAGTTATACAAATGCTGTCAACAATTTTAAATTTGGTGCAAAAAGACGCCAATTGGTTACATATGGAGATTCTGTGTGAAATCAAGTGTTGGCCTTCAGTTCTGTGCCAATTGGGATGCGAATAGAGTAATAAAGGGTTTCCCTAATAATTAAGTGCATTTTGAGTGCAATTTTAGTGCACTTTCAACTATTTGTATCTATTTGCACTACTAGGTGCATTTTAAAATTTCAGTATAAATTGAAATGATCACCCGTTATATTAAACATATAATCCACCGGTTTAAATAAAAACTAGTTCCCATAGTAATATAATTTTAACTACAAATTGCTATAAAAAGAGCAAACAATAAGTAAAACACAACATTCATTTCAAAAGTGTTTTATTGATTAAACAATAAAAGTTACTTCAAATTCAATAGTGTTTGAAATTCATAATAAATTTTACATAAAATCCAACATTTATTTGTTAAGAAATGCCAATTGATCTATACTTCGCTGAACTGAGTCCACCCGCGCGGGCGGTGTTGATGACATTAAAACACCTAAAACTCGACGTTAATGTAATTAATATGGATCTCCAGAAACAGGAACAGTTGTCACCGGAGTTTCTGAAGGTATGTCTTAAATCACATTCATTGACCTATTAATAAATGCAATGCTAATTATATATTGAAATTATGTGTACAGTTGAATCCACAGCACGCGGTGCCCACTATTGTGGACGAGGGCTTCGCGTTGGGCGAAAGCCGAGCCATTATGCAGTACTTGGTCTCGAAATATGCGCCAAACAGTGCTCTCTATCCGACCCATGACCTCAAGAAGAGGGCGAATGTGGACCGACTTCTCTACTATGATATGAGCATTTGGTACGCCATTCGGGACGTTGTGGTCAGTATATGTTTATTAATTGTAAAACTATTGATTGTTTTATAAATAATAACTAAATTTATAACTTATCTCAACAGATGATGAAATTGTTTAGAGGCGATGATCCGCATCCAAACGCAGTTAAAAATTTTCACAACAATTTCACAGTTTTGAACAATTTTATCGGCGATAATAAATATGTGGCCGGAAATGAGTTGACAATCGCCGACATCTCGTATTTGGCAACCCTTACGCCGCTTTCGATCAAAGATTACGAACAATTGGATGACTTCCCGAATGTGAAGAACTGGTTCTTTAGAGTACAGAAAGAATTGCCATATTTTGAAGAAGTGAACGGAAAAATACCGCAGCTTTTCAAACAATTGGCCGCCGCTAAGAAGTAGACCAACTATTTTTATCCTTTAATTTGCTTCAAAAATATTTATATAGTTGTGTATTTTTTATGTCAATTAATTAAAACTATGTGCTTTAAATGTAAAGTATTATACTTACAAAATAATAAACCCAAAAATTATTTGTCATTAATAATTATTATTAATACTACTTAAAATCTTTAATTATGTACGGTATAAAAATAAAATTTTGTATTTTCAAACAAAAAACTAAACAAAGTTATAAATTGTTATCATTTTAAAATATTTACTTTCTGATCTTAAGTGATTGAACTCGATTTATTAATCTAAAAAATAAAGTTATATCAGAAATAAGTTGACATACAGTATACAGTAAAGTACAGTAGTAATTGTTTAAATCATATTTTTTAGTAACTTATTATTACAATACTTTACAAACTGTAATAATCTATAAATTACATGTTGCTTTCAGTTTAAAAATAATTGACATCTAATTTGTAAGTTATTTATTCTGTAGTTATGTTTTATACGACATTATTATACCATTTAGTTAACAACTAAATGACATTGAAATCGAGGTAAGTATAAAGAAGGCGATTCTCTTAAAAGGAATTTAAGTGTATTTTTAGTGCATTTTGTATTAAAAGGTAATAAATCAATACACAGTTATAATTCAATTAATACTTAATATATTCAATCCCGATTTCTGCAATATTGTATAATAATTATTGTATTATCATGCACATTTGTTCTCATGCACCAACATTGGTCGCATGCACCAACATGTTTTAATGCTCAATTATAAGTTTATTGCTTGAGAAATAGTCATATACAGTAATATTACAATTCAAATCGATATAAAACATAAATCATTGCTATAAAAGAGGGACACATTGTTATCATTGCTAACATTCTCTTCGCAACCGATAAGTGAAACACAACTTTAATATCAAGCGTTTTATTCATTCCAAGCGTTAACTCCTATCAACGGAAAGCATATAACAAATTCTCGGTTTATATTAGCGAAAATTAAAATGACAATTGACTTATACTATCTAAGCCTAAGCCCTCCGTGTCGGGCCGTCTTAATGACTGCCAAACACCTCAACATTGATGTGAACATCAAAAATATCGATATGGCTAAAGGCGAGCACATGACTCCTGAATATCTAAAGGTATGTCTTATTTTAATTACATTTTGTTTTGTAATAGTTTTTAAAATATAAAATATCTTTTTAAATGGATTGAATTTATAGCTAAACCCGACCCATAAAGTGCCGACTATAGTGGACGACGAACTCGTGCTGTTTGAGAGTCGAGCCATTATGCAATATCTGTGCAATAAATACGCGCCCAACGACTCCCTGTACCCGTCGGACCCGAAACAAAGGGCATTAGTCGACCGATGGCTTAACACGGATTTGTCCTATTTCTTGGCCGCCGCTGATGTACTCGTATGTAATTAACTCGAATCATAAAATATATTATTTATTTAAGTGATTATGATAAGTAATTATATCTAATTTATGTTGATTTAAAACGAATCATTTATATATAATTAGGTAAG